TCAGAACCTAAACAGCCAAGCGCCAGTCTGCACTTCTTGTATAAGTGCTAAGAGCTCTACCTCACTGTTCTCCAGACCTTAGCCCCCCGCGTGAGTGCGTAGGTGCGTGTGTGTGTGTGTGTGTGTGGGCGGGTGGATTGACGGTTGAGTTTAGGGTTGAGGGTTAAGGTGATAAGCCTGGCGATGTTGAAGATGTCCGGCTAAATAAGGCTTCTGGCTCTTTCACGCTTCTTGCGGTCTCGCGAAAGAGGAGCTATGGGTGTCACATGTGATATCCAGCATGGACTTTTTTGGCACCGCCCCTGGTAGGGCCCCAGTACCGCAACTGCTTAGGGTGTAGGATTTAGGGCTTAGGGAAACCCCACACTGGTGTATTGGGGCCCTGCACTTGCTGCCATCGCGGCCCATCTCGACGACGTTCGTCCCCATCGCCGGAGTGGGTACAGCGATTTCTGCTCCTCGTCGTCCCCTCGGTGCACAGCGGGCTCGGCGTTTAAACGGGTATAGGTTAACGGGTCCGAAGACAAGCCACCCTGCACTCTTCTCAACTACACACGAGGAAGCACTTCTAGTCCTGCGTGCTGACCCCCTGACCCGTTGAAACCCAGAGCCAGGCCCGGCCCTGCCCCGGTTTAGGGTTTAGGGTTTAGGGTTTAGGGTTACTGGATACTGAGTTTCGGTACGTACACTTTTGCTTGCCTGTAGGCGAAGATCCAACAAGGTAAGTGGGAGCTGTAAAGGTCAATTGTCTAGTACAGCAGCGTATACTTATCCTACTGTGAAGTCATGAATTATGGATATGCCTTTGAGGAACTTTCGGTTTCATCTCGAGTGGCGCACTGCGAGTGACTGCTACTTAGTCTACAGGATGCTATGGGATGCTGCACACAGGCCCAAACCCTGGCCAACTCAAACCAAGCCGAATATACTGGTTTAATCTGAATGAAGCCAAGGCAACCGGATGTCCTGGTACGAGTGGCTATCATTACAAATGATAGTTCTTACAGTCCTTCCACATGGCTTAGGGATCGACTCCGTGCCAGGTGCGAAATGGCACAAATTCCGTTTACCGCAGGATTTTCGGGCCCGACAGCCTAATCCTCACAAAAAGCCCCATGAAAACACACCTCGCAGTCCAAGCTTAAGGATGCATTCCAGGAGCGCCCTTTACCTATACTCTTCATTGCAGTTCCTGTGTTGGGAAAACCATAAAAGGACGTACAATGGAGACTGTATGGGTAGTTCTCTAAAGTGGGGTCCCTTTGTTTGGTCCCCGAAATAATGCGGCAACGTTTTAACTAAGACCCCCGAAGGGACCTTAACTTAGAGAACTGCCCATACAGCTTGAAATATTTTTTAAACTACTATAACAAGACTATAATCTGCTATACTACTATAATAAACTATACTACAAAAAATATAAGGGTGAGCTCCAAAGTCCGCCCTAAGTCGAACATCCGCAGGGCACAGGAAGCACAGTTCCCACTCTCACTCTCGTGCAAGGCAGGAAAGGCTCCACGTAGACTGAGGGAGCGCAGCTCAAGGGAAGAATAGGGTTTAGGGCTTAGGGTTAAGGGTTTAGGGTTTAGGGGTTTAGGGTTTAGGGGGTGTTACGTTTTTGGAAACCCGTTCAGATTACAGTAGAAGGCCCTTATAGTACCCATGAAGTAACCTTATAGTACCGTTGTAGTAGGGTTTAGGGGCTTAGGGTTATATAAAGGGATCGCAAGAACTACAGTAGAAGCCCAAAAGTTGGAAACCCAATAGCCTCAATCATTAAGAGTAATGTATACGGAGTCCCAGCACGATTTGTCCTTCTTCATCCTGTTCCAACTTTTTGGGGTTTCCTGTTCGACAAGGGCACTATAAGGGTTTAGGATTTAGGGTTTAGAGGCTTACGGTGTAAGGGTCTATAGGCTTTAGGGTTTAGGGTTTACAAGTGTAGGGTACATAGGAATGTTCGACAAATCTTGAGATCGGCAAAGGATCTCGAGACGACCGCAACGAGCCCCGAAAAGCCAAAGAGTCCCTGCCAGTCTCGGAGCGAAGAAAACACCGGTAGAAGAACTCCTATATATATATATATATATGCACATACATGTGTTATTATAGTGATTCGTGTTACTCAACTTATTTTCCTATGAGTCTTACTATCATGTAGCGTGAATGCGATTCTTCGCCACCGTATTGAATTTCACCATGGCTTCGGCTTCCCCGAGCAGGGTTGTGACGACAAAGCCAGTGTAGTTGAGGTTTAAGGTTTAGGGTTTCGGGTTTATTATATAGTATATGGTGGGGTATACCCCAAACCCTACACACTAACCTTATAAACCCTAAACACCCAAAACCTAATCCCGCAAACCCCTGAAGCCCTAAACGCATAAAACCCAGAAGCTCTATAACACAAACCTCACCTCCTCAACAACCATAAACTCGAAACCCCTGGACCCTAAGCAAGCCTGAATAACCTAAAAAACCCGAAACCCTGAACGCCCAAGCCAAAGTGGCTCGGTCTCTTCCCCCAGCTTCCACGGAAGCTGCTGGGCCCGACCTCGAGAATTGTCAATATAGAGCCAATATAGGGTTTAGGGCTTAGGGTTTCGGGAGATAGGGGCCGGAATAATTAGCCTTCAGCACGGACTGAGGTGCCGGCCAGCGCCCATGCAACCCCGGAATGATTACCCTAAACCCTAAACCTTACAATTACCAAGCTAGTATTCAGGAGACCGTTTGACTTCTCATATGCTTTTCGGGGTGGAAGGCTTGAGGATGTTGGGGGTTAGGTTTGTGTTACTTGCTCCTAGGGGCTTTAGGGCTTTTGCACTCTTGGATTTAGGGGTGATGTTGGGCGATAAGGTCTTTGGGTTTAAGGTTGTGTTCCTTGCTGTTGGGGCTTTAAGATTTTGGGGTTTGGGGCTATGTCACTTCCTCTTAAAGGTTCAGGGCTTTAGGGGTTTAGGATTCTTCGGGTTGCGGGCGTGTTTTCTTAACAGCCCTGGTTGCTGTTGTTGTTGTTGTTGTTGTTGTTGTTGTTGTTGTTGTTGTTGTTGTTGGTGTTGGTGTTGGTGTTGTTGGTGTTGGTGTTGTTGGTGTTGGTGTTGGTGTTGGTGTTGGTGTTGGTGGTGGTGTTGGTGTTGGTGTTGGTGTTGGTGTTGGTGTTGGTGTTGGTGTTGGTGTTGTTGTTGTTGTTGTTGTTGT